CAGTAATTTATTTTTTATTGCTGAGAAATATTTCACTATCACAACTGAATCTATGACCAATTTTAATCACTTCTGTTTATGGACATTTGGGTTTTTTCAGGTATTTGGCTACTATGAATAAAGCTTATTGTACAAGTCTTTTTGTGGACATTTTTCTGGAGTTAATGCTCAGGAGTGAAATGGCTGCAGGGTTGTAGAGTACCGGCTTGTTTTAAGTTCCGTAAATTTGTGGGTTTTGTTGTTGTTGTTTCTAAAATTCAAATCAGTGCTCTTGATTTATGTATTTACTGCTTTGTTTTGCTCCTTACTCCCGTCTTCTGGGTTTAGTTTATTTTTAGTGAATTATATCTTTTATGAGTTTAAGTGACAAACTATTTATTTTATATGTTAAAGTTGCAAGTTTGCTCTCACTTTGAAAAATCCTTTTGCAGTGGAAAATGTTGAACATACAACAGCGTAGAGAGCAACATGATGTGCCCCCAAGTTCCCACCTCTGACCTCAAAATTACCAGTTTGTGACTAGTCTTATCTATCTGTACTTTAGCTGCTTTTCCTTACATGCCCATTATTATTTTGAAGTAAATCCCAGATATTATTTAATCTGCAAATATTTGTATAGGTATTTCTGAAACAATACCCACAGTAACATTTCACTCCTAAGAAAAATTTAAAATAATTCCCAAATATCATCAAACATTTAGTCAATGTTCAAGTTTCCCCAGTAGACTGAAAGGTGATTTTTAGCTAATTCTGAGTGAAGATCCAAGATAGTTTTACGCATTGTGATTGTTGGTTGCGCTGTCCCCTGAGTCTGTTCCTCCTTGCATTGTGTTTGTCAAAGGAACCAGGGTCTTAGGCCGTAGAGTGGTCCAGTAAACAGGGCCTTGTACAGAGTACCCTCTACGTTCTTAAATTTGCTGGTTGCATTCTTGTGAGGTTATTTATACCCGATTCTCTGTCCCCTTTTTCTCTTGTTAATTGGTAGCTGGAGCCTGAATCAGAGTCAACCTAAATTTGAGGGGGGTATGTGTTTGCACTGTGGTGAGGTTATAGACACGTAAGGTCGACTTTCTCTCACTTTGTGTGACATGCAGCCTCTGATTGATTATTGGCTAGATTCTTATTTAATTAGGGATCATCCTCTCTGTGGAATGTTATTTTAACTTGATATAGAACTCTAGGTTGTCCATAAATTTTTACTCAGCATTGAGATGATTGTATTCTTCTGGCTTTTTATTTATCTTAAACTTACTTTATCTTCTGTTTGTTTCCCCTCTGTTTGTTGCCTGTTTTTGCCTTCTTGTACATTATTTGACGTTTCTGAGCTCAATTGTAATGTATCTCTTGGCATTATAGCCACCTCTTTGCATTATTTCTTTAGTGGTTGCTGTTGTGATTACAATATACTTACATTTTCATAGACCATTTAGAGTTAATATTACATTACTCTAGGTAAAACATGGAAACCTTACGTATCTCTTGGCATTATAGCCACCTCTTTGCATTATTTCTTTAGTGGTTGCTGTTGTGATTATAATATACTTACATTTTCATAGACCATTTAGAGTTAATATTACATTACTCTAGGTAAAACATGGAAACCTTATAACTACATTGCCATTAAGTCTGCTGTCCTTTTGGGGGCTAGTGTGGAGTACAGGACTTGGGGTGGTTATGCATTCTGTTCAGGCAGAACACAGGTATTCCTCAAGGTGACTTGTTCTTTTTAAGGTGTTATGTGGATACAGCTTTTTATCATTTCAGACTCAGATTAGATTGCCCCATAAATTAGTAAAGGGGAGGAAATCTTATTATATCACAGGTATTGTCTGCACCTCTGATCCAAGCCTTTGGTAATTAATAGTAGGTAAGAATGGAGTTAGTTCAGGACATGTTTCCCTCTCTTGTTAAAACAATGCCAATCCCAACCCTTTTCCCAAAAGGTCAGTTTCATCACCTTCCTTCAGTAAATAGTTACGAAAAGTTGGAGTTGAATAAGACATAGTCCCTCACTTCAAAGAGCTTACTGTCTAGATGGAGAGCTATACATGTGTGTCACCAGCTGTGTGACTTAAAAATCGCATCCCATTTTATTCCAGGGACGTGTTAGAACTTGTACCAGCTAGTGACTAGTACTAGGGGAGGATTGCCCTTCCAATATTGATAGGAACGCTGCATATTAGAACGTTGCAGAAGAATCCCAGTGTCTGGTATTTAATTGGAAAAGGAATCACTATTGTGTTGTAGGGTAACTATAATGATACTATGTTTTTCTAATGTTAATCTTTTTAAGGGTACCTTTTTTTGATTTATGTTGTTAGATTTGCTTACAAATGATAGGTGGCAAATTTACTGGAAAGAAAATGTCTGTGTAATTGTTTTTGTTTCATCTTTTCTCCTTTCAATATTGTTGACAGGACTTAGTAGCTTAGCAACCTCCTACTTGAATCCTGTAAAATCCTTCGTGCCGCAGATGCCAAAGCTCCTGAAATCTCTCTTTCCTGTCCGCGATGAGAAAAGGGGCAAACAGCCGTCCCCCCTTGCGCATCAGGTAAGAAGCACCAAGGCAGCAGCAGTGAGCATTTTTCTGATAGATTGCCAGCCAAATGGTGCCCGACATAGTGCGGAAGCCAGAAGTGGAGTGACAGCAACCGTGGGGGCGTGAGGCCTGCACCTTTCCCCCCAGTGATGGCTGGGGGCGGTTTCTCTTCCACTCCCTTCAGAGATAACGGGGCTGTTTAAACCTCCTGACACTCTCCATCCTTTTGCTTTTAAAAAATGCCAAGGATGCTACCGATGTGATTTATGGGAATATCACTTACAGCAACAATGGTAAAATTTATGAAGTGCACTTAGGGTTGTTTGTGTGTTGCCAAGTAGAAAATGTAATTCTATTTTTAATTCTTGATTTCATTTCTTTTGTCAAACAATTTTATGTCATGACTCTCCTTCCCTCTCAAGCTCTTTCCTCTACTGTGGATAACTTGTTCACTTAAAAGTGACCTCTTGGCTCATTTCCTTTTTTCTTAAAACTCTGTACCCAACCCTAGGGTAAGTGTCAGAGAAAACATTAAAGGGCTTTCCAAACAACCAGAGGCTGCTCTCATGCAGTGGAGAGTGGGAGCCTTGTTGGAAATGCAGTTTCTAGCCTCACATAGGTGCTACCACAGCAGAAAATGATAAATGAGGATTTATTTATACTCATTCAAAAACACGTACAGTGCAAGGTTCTGTTGTTGAAATAGGTCTTTTGACATCAACTTCTCTACATTCTTTTGAACATTCGAGTTGCAGAAATGCAGGTGAGTAGCTGTCTGAGACTTAACCATGTAAAAGAATTAAGTTTGTGAATTGCAGATTGAAGGGAGACAGAATTCGTTTTATAAGGCTGCTGTGTGGATGTATAATTTTTTCAGTCTAGCATTATGTAAGCATATACATAAGCCCACATATGTGCAGTGGGAGAAAAAAATTAAACATCGAGATTTCAGAAATGTTTACACTGTATTTCATTAGGCACATAATGGGTGCTTGACATTCACGGAAATAAGTCTGTAATGGTGGGACCTAAGTCATGGGGGTCTGGTAGGTAAAAATGACTTTTCCCAGTGGTTTGTTACTGTGTACATTATTCAGTTCTAAACTTCAGCATCTTTGTTGTACAAAGTATGATTCGTGAACTGTCAGAATTACCAAGGTAGCGTTTCAAAGTGATGATTTCTCAGCCTGCCCTGGTGACCTATTGCCAACCTGGGGGCACTTTATTATCTGCATTTAAAAGTGCCCAAGGTGATTCAAGTTTGATAACCACTGGTTTTCATTTGCTGCCTGGTGAAGTCAGAGTTATTCAAGCTAAAGGAAATTGGAGTCGCATTAGAATGCACTGAATCAGCCCACATAGTTCCAACAAGTTTTTTAAAGCTATTTTCAGTTTTTGATGTAGCGAGTCAAATCACCTGCTACACATAAGAACTTATTTAGACTCTTATTTTTCTGACAGTAGGCGATTGGTTTTCTGGATATGAGAGGAACAGCAACATGTTAGAAACAAATCTAGTGGCTGGAAGATCACTATAATTTGTAATGTCTGGGTTAAGAGAGGTCACCTTGAAATGTTTAGAAGATTGCTTAAGCAGTTATTTTTGGTTATTTATTCAAATTTATTTATTTTTTGAGCATATATGAGCCAAAGTGTTGGGGGAACTAGTCTCATACAAATATTTCATGTTTCATAAATAAATGAAAATAGAAATCTAAAATTGACCTTCATGAAGTTGCCCAGTGGTGGAGCTAAGGCACTCCAGCTGCTTTGTGGAAACACCACCCCATGGAAGGCATTTCCCTTTTCTCCAGGGTGCCAGGCAGTTCCCTCAGCTGATGCTGGCAACGTGGCCCCTGAGGCCAGGGCCGCTGCATTTGCCTGGCTTCCCCCTCTCTGACTGCTCAGGGTTTCTCCATTGCCCTTTGTGGGACTGTTGTTTCCATCAAGCCTCTAGTATCAGGTGTCCCAGAGCTCCACCCTGGGCCCTCTTTTTTTTTTAACCTATTTCTTTCCATGGGAATGCTTCCCCCTCTCTGACTGCTCAGGGTTTCTCCATTGCCCTTTGTGGGACTGTTGTTTCCATAAAGCCTCTAGTATCAGGTGTCCCAGAGCTCCACCCTGGGCCCTCTTTTTTTTTTTAACCTATTTCTTTCCATGGGAAATCTCATTCATTTCCACGGCTTTAACTGTTTATACAAAGTAGCCAGAGTGATCTTTCATAATGTTACGTTAGTCCATGGCTTGAGACCTTCCACCGTTTCCCACTGAACCTCAATAGAATCTAAATTTCTTAACTGTGGCTACAGCATTCTGTAGGATCTTAGGATCTGGTTTCCCAACATTTAACCTTTACTCCCTTGCTTCTTCTCTTTGTTCACCCTACTAAGCCGTATTAGCCACCTTTTTATCTCACGAACACACAAAGCTCATTAGAGTCTCAGGAGCTTTGGCTCTCGCTTTTCCTTCTATTGCAATGCTCTTTCCTGCAGTCCCTGCACGGCTACTTGGTCTCTCGTAGAGTGGTCTACGACTGGAACAGTCAAGAAAAGTCACTCCAAGGAAGAACACTTGAGTTTAGAGTGGCCTTTCTTTACCAGCCAAACGAGAACAACAGCCTCCACCATGTACACACGCACTGTTACCATATTGAATCTTTGTTTTGGTAGTTACTGTTAGGTTTATATGTTTAGCAATTGTCGCCCCTCTCGAATGTAACCCTCAAGGGCAGGGCTTAGTGTGCCTGGAACAGTGCCTGGCACATAGAAGATACAAGATATGTATTGGATTGTTATTAGCACCAAGTTTGCCTGCCCTCTCGCCAAAAATAAAGGACTCATAAGTCCAAATGTTGATGCCAGGTTTGGAGCTTTATTCAGGAAGCACAACCTGGAAGACAGGCTGAACTGTCTGAAAGGCTCAGGAGCCTCAGTAGGGTTTTTAATTGGAAAAGTGTGGGGAACAAGGCGGGGAGGTTAGTCCCACTGAGGGGCTGCTACGTGCAGCCTTACAGACTCCAGGCTTTTGTTATCTTGTGGTCTGTCCTGTGACTCTTCAACTTGTTTTTGGGACACGGGCATTATCTGGCTGTCACAAGCTGGATGCTGTCTTGTTCCTGGACAGCTGTGACTCCAAAGGAAGAATGGTTAGTTTTGCAGGTAACTGATTGGTTCTTATTACCTTGCTTTTCCCAAGCACTAAGTTCTGTAGTGTTTTCTCATGAGCTATGCCAAGGTTACAAAAACATCTTGTTTTCCTCATGAGTTAAGATTATGAAAAAAACTTCTTTATGGCTAGCATTCTGCTGTATTCTACAAAATGGCTCTTCTGAGGCTAATTGTCTATGACTATTTGCTATGATGGGCTCTTCCAAGTTGACTGACCATTGACATATATACAGATTATAATATTAGGTTCTATAGACCATGTGTCATTCAGGGGAAGAAAGGACTGTGTTTACAGTTTAGAGACGAGTGGGGATTTGAGGTAGCAAGACATATTTATGAACTTTCTTTCCTAGGTTGATGGAAGTTTCCCTACAAACATTCCTACAAGAGAAAAACTTTAGCTTTTCATTTTGGATTTAGTTGGTCAAAGATGCTCATGTTTATCTCATTTTTACTATGTCTGCTAGAGCTCTAAGAGCAGTAAACTATAATTTTAAATGCTAATATCAACATAAATGTTTCCCTTACTTGGATCGCTTTAAACATGCTTTAAGCTGTTACACCCTGAATGTGGTTTCATCCTTGGAAATGGAATGTTGAGTGCCAGTAGAATCACAAAGTCACAGGAAGAAGAGAAATGCTATTGGCTGGATTCCTTGAGGGTTCCTCGGGGTTTTTCCATTGTAATGGAGACCCACTCACTTGTAAATTAGATTTGACACCTGCAATTTGAGATTCTGCCTTTTAAAAAAATAATATCTACTCCCTCTCCTTGTGGGCCATCCAGGAGAAAGGCCATCTTTTTTCTAACCAATCTTTGCCTCAGTTTTCTCTGCCTGCCCAGGGGCTGAAGGGAGCGGAGCAGGGGGTTCTTGGCTCCCGGCCTCCTCCGGTCCTGGCAGCTGTGAC